AGTAAAGTACAAGTTTTGTGTTTGATTTGATTAAGGGCGCCAGAGGCGCTTTCTCGGCAAGAGTGTAAGGCCGAGAATCAAAAGAAAAATTGACGGGCGCGGTAAGAAATTACCGGCCGCGTCTTAGTGTGTTGAACGGGTCCTAAAAAGGACGGTTCAACTGAGTTAGCTCGTTGCAGCCCCTTTCCCGGCGTCGGTGGAACTCCGTTCGGGAAGTGGTCTTCCGTCTGACAACTGCTCTCTGAGCAGGCTCTGAGCGGTGAAGTCTGTACTGCGATGGATCGAGTCTCTGGTGTGCTGGTGGTGGCAACCGTCTCGGCTCGTCGGGATTACGGATTGCTCCGTGTACCGAGGAGAGAGAGGTCTCCGAATTCGGATGTCGCCTGGTGTGAGCGTGTCCCTTGGTGGTCGAGTCAACCGGACGCAGAACTCTAGTGGGATTAATTTCCACACTAGAGACTGAGGAGGTGACGGCGAAAGTGGAGTATCCGCGGGCCGCTCGGTTGAAATGCGCGGCCGATGCTGGGACTCTGTTTTCTTTTTACGCGCCTTGCGAGGCAGCGTGAGAAAAACTGCGAGACTATGTGTCTCTGTTAGATTCTGCCGAGGCAGAGTACGACTCAGTTCAAGGGCCCTTGAGAGAGCTCGCCTTGAAGCGAGTGAGTGAGGAAAGATCTGCGGAGCAGCTCTTTTATATCTCGTCGATCGAAGCTTGATCGCGAGAAGGTTCTTCACCGCCTGCGCAACCTGGCGGTGGGTCCGCAAGCTTGTAACTGGTAGAAGGCCTGCGGCGCGTAGCGGCGCCGCGATGTATTATACCGCGTCAGTGCAGCGGTGTGGCGGTGAGCCGCCACACATACATTTTTCTCCTTTTTTTCTTTGATTAATTTCATTATACGTTTTCGAGGCCCCATTTTGATGTTCATTGTTTGTAAGTCATTTTCGGTAAGTTCTAAAAAAGATTCGTTGTCGATGCGTTCATCTAAAATATAAAAGATCAAGATAAATATATCAAAAAATGTAATAAGAGAAAATTAATTACAAATTAATTACATAATTTCATTATTTCTTACAATCATATAATTATATGACGAAGACTAATAAACAGATTATTAGATGTTGATTTAGTCCAACATGCAAAAGGTTTGAAGTGAGCAAGAGTTGAAATTTCAACGAGTCTATGAACAGCACCAGGTCCAGGAAGTTCGATTTGGTAAGCATTTAAATCCGTATCAAACTGAGTAGTAGTGCATATGGATATGTTTAAATATACTCTATTAGTATGTAATACAAAAATTTCTTCTATATATCCAAACAGAAGTAAATTATCCTCACGAATGTGTGCAACTTCCAGACATACAAATAATTCAAATTCTTTCCGGAATTCAATTCCATTCCAGCGAACAAATTTACATGACAGAACTTCATCATCATCATGATAACCGAGTGCATAGAAATCTTCGTTATTCTCAATATTTTGTATCAAAACGGTTTTACTATTTGAACTGTTTAATTTAATCAATTTGACTTTGCCTCCGCCCCATCTGGCACTTTGACTACATTGGAAAATGCGAACAAGCGTTTTTGATGGATTTTTAAAATTGCACACATTATGTGCACGTTTCTTAATTTCATTGTGCTTAGCTTCGTATCGCATACAAAAGTAATGAACCAGAGATCCAGACCATAATATGCATTCAGGATAATGAGAAAGGTGATGAAATTTATTAATGAGATTTATTTCAGAAAATAATTTCTTAAATACCTGGATAAAATTTGTAATAAGGGTTCTGAGGTACGGAATTAGAGATTTAGTGATTTTTGGCGAAAAGACTAATTCCATAATCTGAAGCAGAATTAAAATCATTTCCATATGTTCATCTCCATTACGCACTTTTTCGCAAACCAAAAATGGAAAAGCACGCACGAGGCACCACGTTTGCATTGCTTTTTGGCTTAATGTATTATCTCTTTTGCGGAGCATAGCTTCGGTGAAATTTGCGGATGGTTTATTAACTTTTTCTGTAAATCCATATTGGAATGATGATATTCGATCATTGAAATATTGAACATTGAACCTTCCCTGTACTAATATGTATTCACGTAATATTAATTTTAAAATCATTGGGCATATACTGCATAGAAAATCATGCATAGGATCAAAAATTTTATTTCGAGAAATATGGAAATAACGTGAACTATGCAATGAACAGTCTCCTTGGACTCCTGTCGCTGATTTTGACTCAGCAGAAAAGTTTGTCTCTTCTAAGAGAGCAAGATGTTCATTAAAAACCTCTTCAGTTCTTGGTTGTGCTGTTTCAACAGAATCAGCATGTAAATCGGCTCTGCACAATACTCTATACAATATACTCTATACAAGCACATTCGACAAAACTTATTGGCTGATGGCCCAAGAAGATTATATACATCATGAACAGAAAGTCCATCCCCAACAAAAGCAGCTAAAAATCCGCGAAGTATAAATTGATGAGGTCCAATTTCTATGGGTATTCCTTTATCGCCCTCTAACTTAACTAAGTCTTGCAAAAACGGAGCAAGTATCTTTTTAAATCCATACTTTTTTACATCCGAATCACAACAAAGAAGCAGAACATGTATGCTACTAAGTTCTGAATTTATATGCGGTGGCAAATTTTGAATTGTGTAATAAAAAGCTCCTAACTTATGCACACCTGTCTTCGATCCCAATGGGTTGACAATTTCTAATTCGTCATAATATAACTGGATTCTTAAAGCGTGTTTATGTTGCAGGAGAAAAGGATGAATTGTAGCATGCTGACCATCTAGAAATGAAGCTAATATATTGTCATCAATTGATTTTCTTTCTGACAGAATAGCTTGTCGCACATCTTCGTTTGACAGCACCAATTTCAGAGAATCAATGATAGGAATATATTGACAAGTCTCCATAATCATTTTTGGTATGTACGTGGCTGTTTTACTATCAAGTTTACTATCAAGGCGATATCCAAGAAGGATTTCTATGGGCTCAATATATCCGCAATGCTTTTTCAAAGCATTAATTTGTTCATCCAATGTTCTCATTTGTTCAAAAGGACTATCGAACTCTAACACTTGTAAGACATCTTTTGAAACATCGTCATGTAGCATGTTATTGTCTTCAAAAATCTTTCTGACTTTTTTCTTCACGAAATCTCGGACAGTAAGTAAAAGTTTTTCGCATTCGTCAAGAATCTGTGTCAACAGGTGCCCTGTCATTGAACCATTACATTGGAATTTCGCAATCATTCTAATCACTAACTTTTGTAGATCAAAATCTTCATCATTATTGTTATCGTTGCTATCATTATCACTATAAACTAAATTGTCATGAGTGTTTTCTGAATCTTCTGAATCATTAAACTGTACACATATTTTGTTATTCATTTCATTATTATAAAGTTGGTTAATAACAACTGCAGGCCCTCTCTCTCTCTCTCTTGTTCAAGTTCAGTATTTCTTTCATGCAAGTGATAGTTTCTAATATGCCTTCTCAACGTATAAAAGTGTATAAAAGTACGTTGACAACCACTTTGTCCACATTTAAAACCTGCATTGCCTACACCACGATTAATTGTAAGCCCATGGATGGATATAAAATGCCGAACTAAACCATTCAATCCACCAGAAACTAATTGTTGACACATGTAACAATTTAGTCTTTCCATTATTTATGATCTCAGATCAATTCCTGCATTAAAGTAATAAATATAGCAATGAATAAGCAATGAATAAGCAATGAATACATTTTAAAATATAATGATATAAAATAAATTTTTTTTGCAGTGATGCAACTTTTGAATTGATGATTTTTTAGTGTCCATAGTAGTTACACATATTTGCAAGAATATATATATTTTTGTACATCTTATGGGTGCAGTTCCGAATAGGTGAAACGCCCGATTGTTTTGAAACTCCACTATTTTATGTAGTTTGGCGCGCTGATTACGAATATGATAATGAAAATCGCCGACTAGGTCATTTTCAAGGTCAAAACAAGGTCAGAAAAAGTGAAAAAATATCACTTTTTTGAGATTATTTTAAGAAATATTGATGTAACAAAAAAAGTTTAAAATAAAAGTTGTAGTTCTTGTAAAAATACATTATTTATGTCCTATGCATTTTTTGTGTAAAACTGATAGTTTTCGAGAAAATTGACGTTAACGATTAAAAACTTTGGTAAGTAGGATGAAACACGGGGGGTTCGGGGGCGGAGCTCCCCGAGGGGGAAATGGGTGCAGGCGGGGAGGGGGGTGCGAGGAAGGAGGGGCGGAGCCTCTCCCCCCCGCCTATTACATAGCTAGTGTCTATTATAAAAGTTGAAAATAACTTTCAAACACAATATGCTCTCTACCTTGCGTAGGGGTCTTGCTAATCTTTCCTGTATTTAAAATTTTTAGTATATAGTAGACTCATCATACTTTTAGTAAGGCAAAGATTTAATTCATATAAACTTTCTGCGCGCACACACCTTGCGTTGGGGTCTTGCTAATCTTTTCAGTATCTAATATTTTTAGTATATTGTAGACTCATTAGATTTTTAGCAAGGCAAAGATTTAATAAATATACACTCCAGGCCAAAAGTTTGGATACATTGCTCTAAGCAGCATTTAAATGTGCTTAAACGGAATTTTTCGCTTCTATAGTATTTTCTTTTATACTTATCGCGTTTATTATCCTATTAGGTATTTAGAAAATGCATATATGCCTAGGTCTAAATGTACCAGAGAGGTAAATTAATTAAATTGAGTAGTGTGCATATTTATTTAAACACTTGAAAAAAGTTCTTCGTACGTACTCGAATTTCTGTAA